TGTATGCATGCATGCATGCATGCATACACTGCATGCATGCATGCATGCATGCATACACCGCAGGCTTATGCTGTGATAAACTGTCTCCTGTGTAAAACCCTAAACAACAAGAAGACGGCGGAGTGTCTCTGTTGATGAAATATATATAAATAAATAAATAAATAAACAACAACAAGAACATTCTATCTATAATAAATATAAATAAATATAAATATAAATATAAATATTAAATAAATAAATATATAAATATATAAATATATAAATATATTACTTTATAGGCCTGTATTTCTCTGCTACCTCATACCCAAACCCATACACAGAAAATACAGTCGCCTGCGGTATACCGGCGGACTTATATAAATAACAAGACACGTAACCCACTGCACACACACACACAAAAAAAAAATAAAATAAATAAATAAATAAATAAAATAAATAAATAAATAGATAAATAAATAAATAAATAAATATAATACAGTATAAAACAATAAACATTTCACTATTTACTCCTTTGCAGTAAGAACAAAACAAATCAATGCCTACTAACATCTACACTACGTACAGCAACGCTACAAGCAGCAGCAACAGCAGCAGCAGCAGCAGCAACAGCAGCAGCAACAGCAACAGCAGCAGCAACAGCAGCAGCAACATATAGCAGCAGCAACAGCAGCAGCAGCATACAGCAGCAACAACAGCAACAGCAACAACACCAATAACAGTAACAATAACATCAACAGCAGCAGCAGCAGCAGCAACAGCAACAGCAGCAGCAGCAGCAGCAGCTGCTGCTGCTGCTGCTGGTGCATCTATCTGACTTCTTCCTTCACGAGCCGCCGTGGCGACCTCCTCAACTCTGCGCTCTAACATTGTGCGGAGATTGTCTCTGCCTTCTTTCGCCTGCAGCCATACATATATATATATATATTTATATATATATATATATATATATATGTATGTATGTATATGTATATATATGGAAAGCACTGTCTCCTCATCAGGTATATGCAGAGAGGAGACAGAAAGAGAATACATAGAAGAGCAACAACTCCTCTTATGTTGCTCGTGTAAATGCATGCAGACAAGCAGCTACACATGCATGCATGCATGCATGCATGCAGTGAGGGTGTGCATGCATGCATGCATGCATGCATGCATGCGTTTGTTGAGTGTGGGGTTTGGGGCTGCATCACCCACCCCTTCTTCTTCTAAATTAAAGGGAACAGCGTCTCCTGCGTTGCCCTGAGGGAGACAAAAGCAGCAGCAGCAGCAGCAGCAGCAGCAGCAGCAGCAGCAGCAGCAGGAGTATGAGTATGTGCTGTTGAGGAAGGAGAGGAGAAAGAGGAGAGACATATAATATTATTTTTTTAATTGTATATTTATCTGTCTCCTGCGGAGGAGACAAAAAGATATACTCACGGGCTGGCTGACGACGACCGCTATGTCGAGGCCCTTCAAATGGCAAATCAATACACCTGAGAGGAGACAGAGGAGACAGAGGAGACAGAGAAAGTTCACACAAAGGAGACAGAGGAGACAGAGGAGAGAGAGGAGACACAGAAAGCTCACACAAAGGAGATGGAGGAGACAGAGGAGACAGAGGAGACAGAGGAGACACAGGAGACACAGAAAGCTCATAGAAAGGAGACAGAGGAGACAGAGGAGACAAGAGAGGAGACAGGAGACAAAGGAGACAAGAGAGGAGGCAGAGGAGACAAAGGAGACAACAGAGGAGACAGAGGAGACAGGAGAGGAGACAAGGGAGACAAAGGAGACAA